GTTTTACACTTCATCTGAATAATTAATTTTTGCCATAACTTCTACGTTTGGCAGGCAGCTTAGAGATCACAGTTACAAAGGTTAAGGTTACAAATTACAGTTTACTTACGCAAATATTTTGAGAATGGCTCTACTAGTTTCGAGTCACACAGGGACTCTTCCTCGTAAGCAGCGTGCGCAGTCGCGGCGACATCGCACAGCCTATTAATTTTTATCAGAGAGCTTATTGCTGCCAGATCTTATTGAAATATGTAGTACCGTGGGAAGAGTAGATGGTGATTTATGAATGTACTCTACCACACACAGATCAAAATGGCAAAAGTGAATAATATACTGCATCTTTAAAAAGTAATGCAGTAAAAATGTTCCCGTAAGTACAGAACATTAAGCAATTTTCTTCTAAACTATCTCGAGAAATATTCGTCCAAGCAGGCCGTAAATTAACCTCGTAGACAAATATGAAATGGTACCTCGTCTATAGATCATAAAATTTGTCATATCGATTAATTTATCGATATTACGACTCGACTATAATATGAGTAATGTCCATACGTTTCATGTATTTTCGTAATTGTTTAAAGAATTTATATTTTACTTGTAAAACCATTCGTATTCGAAGACACTTTTTGGATACAGCTGGTATTTTTATATATGTTTAGATATTATTTATCTTCAATACATAGTATAAAACAAAGTCGCTTTCGCTGTATGTCCGTATGTATGCTTAGATCTTTAAAACTACGCAACGGATTTTGATGCGGTTTTTTTTAATAGATAGAGTGATTTTTAAGGAAGGTTTATATCATGCATATTGCACCCGTGCGAAGCCGGGGCGGGTCGCTAGTTATATAGGTATATAATTCTTCTGTGAGTGTGTATGTCACTGAACTTCGCTCAAACGACTGGACCGATTTTGATGAAACTTTTTGTGTGTGTTTAAGGGGATCTGGGAATGGTTTAGATTCACAAATCAGCCCGGCAGATGGCGCTGCAGTCGATGTTTAGGTTATTTATCCTAAACAGCAGAACTAATTTGAATGAACTTTTGTTTATACATTCAAGTGGATATGCAGGACAACGTCTGTTGGGTCCGCTAGTAGATATATATTTTTTTATATATGACCTGGGTGTAAAGATCAATCAGACACTGTCGACTCTCAGACATTATTTAAGTGACTGACAAAAATAGCTCAAGAAATAAATCTTTTCTCTGTATTTATAAGAAGCGTTTTAGGATATTTTCCGGACACATATAATAAATATTAGGGTTACCCTGAAACTGAAAAAATGTATGTGTGTCTACAGAGCATAATTCTTCATTTAGTTCGTCCATAAGGAAGTTTTAACCTATATAAGTGCTTACCTGGTTCATGATGAGAAGCCGATGACGGCGCGGAGAATGCGCTGGAGCAGCCCGGGCGGCGCGCTAGTCCTCCCAATTCTGGCACTGCGCAAATAATTTATAGATTAGCTTTCAAAACGCATTTATGCTATAATTAATTAAATGATTATACCATTGACTAACGGAATTCTGCGGGGCGCATCACACCACATTAACAGCCTATATTCTGCGGGACATAGAACCTATTTGAACCAAAACCACCTGTCACCACAGAGAAACCCAATTAACGAATGCGGTCCAACGTGGAATAGAATTTGTATGAAATTAATAGCCAACCATTTAACGTGAACTCACTCAGTATAATTAATTACTAAACTAGACCTGTCATCAAAATGTTCACTAAAGTTTCAGTACACGAATGAAGCGCTCAACAGACTTGTATTTACAGAGTGGTCACAAAAGTTACGGCTTTTATTTCAATTTGCTCGACTGACCCACTTTATCCAATCGCAGATACTCATGAATTTCTGGCATTCCGTAACAGAGTTATGCTCTTTGAATACAGCTAAAAAGTTTCAGAGATCAAGAGTTCAGTATGAATGTTCGTAAACACTAGTAAATAATAACGATTCCTAGAATTCTAGAATCTAGCTCGAATATTTTTATATAAATACACAACATATTTTCCTTTGCTCGTACTTGTACAAATACTAAACTTCCTCGTTGAATAGGATATTCTTTTAACACGAAGCGAGCACAAGGAGTCCGGAGTTAAACAAAGAAAACTGAGATAAATGTACTTCAAACATATCTCGGAGTTGTCATACATTTATCCCGCCGGCAAACAACATAAAAAAATGAAGGCAGGGCGGTGAATGCGAAGCGATTAGCGTTCGGCTTTCATGATTAACTCACACAAGTTCGCTGTCTCCCTCGTCCTTCGCTCGTCTGTTGTTCGCCTGTCCCGAGAAATGTTTAAATGGTTTTTCTCAGCAAGATAACAAATAGGCCACGGCCGCTTAGACACTAATCGGGTTTCACCGAAATGGGATTCCGCTAAGCTATGAAAATTAAATGCTCTGCTCTCAAATTCGAATTATACCGAGATGAAAATTAAATAAATTCAACGTGGCCTACGATTCGAACCAATCTGGGTGAACTTTTCTCTATCCGACTGAACTCGCCAGTGTGACTTTCAATTGTTTTATATTGGCGGATTTGCGGGGAACTTGTACGTTGATCTTTTTGTGCGAGTTATGAATCGGTGAACCTCAAACAGAGCATTATCTCAAAAACCCGACACCATTTTTTGCGCTGACATAAATTGATTCCTAAATTAGTTGAAACACAGAGCTTCGTGTGTTTAAGTGCTGTAAGATTTTGCACACGTAAAACGCTATTCAATTTGGAGTTATCTCGGAACGAAATTAAATTGAATACCAAATAGTTGAGATAGTGCTGATTTGGAGTCTGTGCGGTGAGCGGGCGCTTAGATAAGTGGCTGCTATTTAATATCTGCAAGATAGGGGGGGCTGGCGCCGTGCCACCGGACTACGACGAATTACAAATAGACCCGACTCATATCTTGAAAACGCAAAAACTTAACTGAATTACTCGTTAAATAACTCATCGAAGTCAAAGGAAACTGTGATTCTCAAGGAGGTTTAAAAGGGGCCATAAATTGTTGGGAAGAGTCTAGCAGTCCTTATTGTTAAGGGCTGTTACAACCGATGCAGTAGGTATTACATATTATTTTTAAACTATAAGAAAGTTATCAACTCGTTCACTTTTCTCCACAAAATCTATTTTCTGGAGAACTTTTAATCTACTTTTAAGAACTTAAAGGGATAAAACTCCAAGAAATACCAAGCTCAATACTCTTTTAATTCTGTTAGTATTAATGTAGAAATCAATTAGTAACCATGAATAATCTACAATGTTTGAAAGAAAGAGCACGCGAGGACGTGAATTGACTGATTTATTCATATGCTTGTGATTGTTGGAACAAGGTTGCATTAAAGAAAATTTACCAGGAAACTCGGGGCCAGTGTGAAGTCAAGGCAAGTTGCTAGTACTTAATGAATAAGTAGCTATACCGTTAGTTAAGTACAGTGGCATGTCAACCTACTCCTTTCTTTATTAGATTTACAACTTTATTGTTTACACATATAATGTGGAAAATCCAATGACAGACTGTAGTAAGTTGACCTGATGTCCTATTACGAGTTTGTTTTACGTTAACGCGCTCGACACGTTTATGACGCCCGGCGCTCTGATTGGTCAGCTCTAAGTTAATCAACCAATTAGAGGGCTAAACGCGGTAACGTTTCGATCTTGTTAACTTAAAAATACTTCGTACTCAATACTCTCCTATAGATACATAGGTTATTAAAGAGATAAGCGTGAATATGTGAGTATAGTGTTACTTACTTAAGGTTAGAAGCCCATCTAGTAAAGTTTAGTGGTTAAATACTTTGAGAGAAAGCTTTGAAGCCGCAACCTCTTGTATATGGGTTGTGTATGAGAACTTCTTACCTGGAGTGAGGGTAGGCGAGCAGCCTGCAACGGAACGTGGTGGGGAAGACTTCTGTCTGCCTTCAGCCCCCACTAGGGGAAACGGGACAGAAAGAGAAGAGTACATTATTTGTTCACAGAGATCTTATATAATAGAATTAAGAGTCTTAAATTACTGTCAATAATTTGCGGTTCAGTAGCAAAGGCTAAAGATTTATTTATATACTCTCGATACGTAAACCTATACTGGGTTTTTTTTCATTTAATACGTTAATAAAACGTTATTTACGTATTACGTATTGTACGTTTACAATGAGCTACATTAAATTTAAACATGATTTTAAAACTTTCATTAAACCGTGGATAAACTGTGATCCAATTAACACTAAGCTCAAAATCCCTAACACAGTTGAGTCATAACACAGCTTTAAGTATTACTTACACACATTAAAACAATGGAACGATGTCTAAACAAATCTACTAAAACTGGCTACTTTAGTAAAAGTACATGCGTACAGTTTGCGGCAGGGATGGTGAACACTTGGTGCGTGTACCATTGATGTAAACGCTGCACAATATTTTGGGCACGCAATTATTCAAAATGTTTATGGTCAGCAACGCACTTGTGTTGTTGTTTTGTTTCTAGTATTTTACGTATTTACAGTCGTAATTAATAACCGATTTCAGCCCAAAATCTTTGGCCTAACATCAATTTTTGTCAATATTTGTCCGGGGTTTCTGTCAAAATGCTAGATTAATTGTGATTGATTATTAAACTACGATGAAAGCTTACCATCAGAGGACCAGTAAGTTTTGTTGCTACTTGTTGTAGTACTTTTATGCTTAAAAGTCATAACAGTTTTATTGTGATGACAGTAAACATTTTTTTAAACGCCACTTTAATTATTATGGTCGCGTTAAGCATGTTTTAGCAAAATAACGCGTTGATACGTAAAGGTTTGCCATCCCTGGTATACGGTGTCTGCTTACGTGTTCACATGCCATTAAACATATTCTTGGGTACTTGAATAGCTTTGTAATTTCCTTTGTTTTTTCCTGAAGTGCTTGTAAGATAATAGGATTGAATAGAAATTGTTTTTTATTTGGAAAATTGCTTGGTACTTGAATCTTTATTTGTTGTATTCTATTACACTGATCGAAATCTTCTTTTTATTCTAGTTACTTTAATTGTGTCTCTCATAAGCAAAATCTATCGATTCTGCTTGTTTTACGTGGTATTTGAGAAATTGAATGAAGAGTCTATAGATGTCAAAGATGAGTAATCGTCCATAGGTTAAGTGCTAATGTATCTTACAGTTTCATTGTAAGTAAACATTTAGTTTTACGTATCTTTTGTTTCTTAATCTCAACGTTATTATCTCATTATTTACGCGCGTAAATTGGATAATGTTTATCAAGGATAGACAATACATATTGGATGATAATGTTATTTAGCTCTGTGTTTACTAAACAACGTTTATTTGAGATAAAGAAAATACTAATCGTTATTACGTGAGATATCTTCTTACGTAAATAATTACCAGCAAATTGTTTTTCTTATAACCTTAGTAAATGTCAGAATTAATTAACTGGCCGTTTCAGTATCATTATCCCGTCATTAAAGTATTTTTGTTTGTCTAACAAGTGTCAGCTACAGCGGAGTTGAGCTCACAGAGCGGTTTCACTGTTTGAGCACACTTCCAACTAAAGGGATTAAAAGTTTATTTTGCAGCGACAAACACGACCTCTGTCGGTCAATATTTGTAAACGTTGGACCTATTTGGAATGAACAGAAGATTTATTGGATTTAAAGGAAATTGGTACGTTGTAATGGATCCTTTGTTATTATTTGAGTTCGAAAACTACGCGTTCTTTTAAACGAAAATAGTTAACGATGATTTATTGAAGACAATGGATGTATACAACACAGCAACACGTAGTTTTTTTGGTTAGCATAATATTGTAATGTGAGTCAAGGAAGATTTCTATCTGAGTCGGTTTACTCGGGAAACAAAACAAAAGAGTACTACAAAGACCTTGTGTATGTAAGTCAAAGTTCATGAATAGCTAAATACTAAGCTACACGGTGGCTTCATTGATGAGCTTCGTTCGTACATCATTTCTTACATCGAATATGAACTTCTAAACCAAATTGTGAATCCTAGAAGTCATAACTCAAACAAACCTAGCCCTTTATTCACACTAAACTAAATTTAGACAAGATTAATCTTGTTGAAGAAACTCCAAACATTTCCAAAGACCGAAGTCCAAACATGCCTTATGAATTATCCTTAATTGAGCCATCGGAACAAGAAACGAAAAGCTAAAAGTCGTACTACAAACAGAAACAGACACATCTGAGGATCACAAGGGACATTAGTTGGAAAATGAGACTAAAACATAAGAGATTATGTTAATAGGTGTTATAATATTCTCTGGGAGGCCAAGACTTTGCTTCGACATCTGCAAGCTTGGCTCCGCGCCAAACTATGTAGTTGGTATACCGACTCCAGTACCTACTTAACTTACACTCTGTTTATAAAACGTCTAGAAGGGACTCACTACAAAACGTTTTACTCTTCTTTCCTTATACCAAAGTAATTACGACCAACTGTTGATGTTATCTTATAAGAATCTTATCGCTTTAATGGCGCAATTTACGTTTCCAATGTATCAATTAAAGTCATTGTAATTTGGATTGTAAATGATCGCGATGTAAGTCTGGAGTGTTATTAAACTGTAAGTGATATTTAAAATTAATTGCTAATCATATATTTTAATGCTGAGACAAGGACGGAGAATGGTGAATGTGTTTATGTGAACGTAATATATTCGTTCATTAGAGTTTACGAATACACTGAGACAATACAAGGTCTTTACTAATTCATTCAAATTATTATGTAAAATAAAATATGTTAAGAACATAACAGAGCGACATTATATAAAAATTAATAACAGAACACGAACAGCTCAACCAATGAACGATGTGAAACAAACAAAAAATGTTCGGCGTGTGAAACGCGACACATCGGGTGCGCCCGCGCAGCGTACGAGGTCGGCGCTCGTCGAAAAACATTGACCTATTAACGTAAGCGGTATGAGGTAAGCGGTCTTGATGAACGATACACGAGAATTCAGACCTTTTGCTTTTTCAGAACAAATATGTTTTAGATTAATATAGATGGAGGGAGATGTTTGATTGAGTGTTCTAATCTCTGAAACTGCTATCTAGGTTTGGATTAAATTAGTATCTGAACCAGATTTTGAAGAATTTAGATTCTTGAAATAATTTATAGGCTACACCAGGAAAATGCATGATGATGTAACCGTGAACAGAGCTAATGATGTTTTTCACAAAATATTCACAAAAATCATATCTATACAGACTTTTATACGGTAAAAGTGTTGAATAAAATGTGTCTACATCAGAGGGACTTGTTATTTATGGTGAATGTTGTGGATTCGTAAATAATGTAAATGGGTCGTTAAAAGTTATCAGACAGACTGTCCCAGAATCATAAATGAGCGAGTATGTTTCCAAATAAAATTTTAGACACATCAAGCTATTAAATCCAATTTATCATAGCCCCGCTTTGTACGATGTTTTCCAACATTTGGGGGTCAGTTTATAGTGGTGTTATGTAGCTTGACATGTGTGTACTTACCTTCAGATTCATTTTCTAAGTTAATTCGTTATAGGTCAGACGTACTAATGGATGATAATACTCTAATTGAACTAAATCGGATTGTTTTCCTAACCAATCGTAATTAAATTTTCAGTATTTTGTGAGGTAACAATTCATTGGTTTAAATTATTTATTCCGACATTTACCTTACGTAATAAAAATGGCGATGAGTGACAGGGGATTTGACATTTTATACTAATAAAAAAATTATAAACATTTTATTAATAACTTGTGATTTGACGTCATTTCACTGAACCTTTTTTTAGGACCACACCACATTTTAAGTACTCTTTAGGGCTCGTACACAAAACTACGATGCGACGTCGCACGTAATCGCAGCGCAGTAATTCGTGTCGTAATTTTCTGCGTTGTGAATTCGCGTCGCAGTTTTGTGTACGAACCCTTATAGTTAGTAAAAAATAAATGATCTTTAACCTTGATCCAATTCCTAATAATAAATTTAGAGTAAATCTATTTCTGAATCGAGCTAGTTCAAAATATTTGTAACTTAATATAATCAAACTTAATTACAATCTACCAGAACAAGTCAGCTTAGTCAAACATGACCACAAGTGATCTCAAAACATGTACAAAGCGTTAACATGAGCAATGAGGCGTTGAGCGCGTTGAATCTTGAATTTAAAACTATCTCGACCTCACACGTAGACCACTCGAGAACAACGCTAAAACTGCATCCATTGCTGGATTTGTTTAAAGCAATTTAGTCTATCAGGGAAGAAATGAGGCAATGGATATCTGTGAACGTTGGTGGGCAATATGTGGTTAGTCTAATGCCGTCGCCACACATGTGTGCACTGTTTTTTTACATAAGTGTTCACATTGTGTGGTAAGGATATTTTATGCGATTTTGTCCGTGGCACACAATGTGAACACTCTGAATACTGATATATACAAACAAGTGCGCACAAGTGTGGTACCGGCATAAAAGTCATGGCTTCATGGCTCAATGATCATGCTAACACCAGTTAAAGCATGGCTAATCCTCGTCGAAAAAATGTATGTGAAAAGTTTAACGAGTTTTAAACATGATTGGTGTTCTCAACAAGAAGTTGAGTCTAGGCTTTAGTGTATTTTTAATTGTTGGAATCAGTTAAACATAACACACATAACATCACGCCTTTTATCCCCGAAGGGGTTGGTAGAGGTGCACATTACGGCACGTAATAGGGGGTGAGCCTATTGCCATATACCGGGCACATTTCCGCACTCCGTGCTACTACTGAGAATTTCTTATAAAAAACCAGTAACACTTTGCCCAACTCGGGAATCGAACCCAACGCTTATTGCTTGTGGCAGTAAATATAACAGGCATGTTTAACAGGCTGTTATATTTTTTCATTGTGTAATTACTACGTTAATTCCTCTTTTCTACTAAAACGTACAAGCTTAACTTTTATAATAAAATGGTCTGCGTTGATAAATTCATATATAATCCTATATTAATGAAAAAAAGCACGAATTCCGTTAAATAGAATACATTTTGCTACAGAGCGTTATCCCCAGAAACGAAAATAAAAATATAATACATTCTTGTTAGTGATTGTACTGAAATCTTCGTTATGTTGAACCATATTATATGATTTGTTTACACAATATTCGCGTCTGTTATATGGATCTTTATACCCAGTGTTATTTCCAGTAGCTCCTCATTCGTTCTTTTTTGTGGGTTATGACCAGTTTATTGCTTTGCTTATTTTTTGTTCCCATTTCAAGTTAACAGGTTCCATGAGTTTTTGAGTATAACCTTTTTTCCCATGCTTTTAGGGTTCAAGTAAGGATTTTTATAATCATCGTCAGACGTTTTTGTAAGTATTGTTACAATTCAAGGTAGGTACTATCTAATACGAATAATATAAAAAAAATAAATTAAATTTTTAGCACCTATCTATCAAATAAAAACAAAAAAAGTTGTTGACGTAAAGAATGTTACCACTTCACAGAAAAACAAGCTTTTTTTCATTCATTCAAAAACATTTTTAATCACAATTTCCGTGTAAAACATTTTACAGTTACAAAACGGAAAACAGGAAAAATATGTTTTCCCAAAAGATCCAAAATGAAATCCTACAAAGCTACGCAACAAAATATTCGTGAAGAACTTTTTTCAGCTTCAGTTACTCGAAAACAATCAAACGGGAGTTTCACAGTTTTCGCTTTTTAATAAACGGTTCTGGTTGCTGTAGTCACGTGCAAAAAATCCCTATAGTTATTCATATTATGAAGGGTAGCGTTCGTTCTACGTTTTAACGTAAACATGACGTATGGGATTGAAAAATGGGCCTTTTATCCTCGATTGATGGACGGACGTGACGGTGGGTAATGGAATCATTGATGTTTTTGATGTAGTGAAACTAATAGTTTGGAAACTAAAGGGTTGACTGTTTGTCATACTTTATAAAATACTAGCTTTTATGGATATAGATAAAAAGTAGCGTATGTGACATATACCAATACACACAGCGCCATCTATACAAATAATTTAGTTTTCCCTCTAGAATATCAAATTTTCCGGTATAAACAGTTATTATTTAATCCAGGCTTATAACTTTACGTCTGCAAAAATTCAAAGCAATCGGTTTAGTAGTTACGGCGTGAAAGCGGAACAAACAAGCAAACAAACTCACTTTCCGATTTATAATATTAGTAAGGATGTATTGCTATCTAAATTCATAGATAGAGAACATTTTCAGTAAACGTATTTATAAAATGCGTTGTAGTTAAGTTTGTTTTAGAAAGACCATATTACGTAATTTAACTTTGTCCTTAAATCAAGTTTCAGTAATAGGACTTTAGGGGGTGATTATAAAGGTAATCTTGCTACTAAAGTTTCTTAGCGTAAATAGATGGATGAGAAACTTTAAAGAAGATATCTGTAAAGATGTACAATAAAAATGAACCTTTCTTACAAGGTACGGTAATCTAGATTTTGCTTAATACGAACTTACCAATTTCATTCCTAGTTCAGAAGAAGTATTATTTTAGTAAGGATATTAGAATTGTAATAAGTTTTTCCACAGATCTCTTATTAAAACAAAACTAATATCAATTCTGGCACAAAAAATAAGCAAAGCTTTCTTAACCCTTCGGCACTAACTAGCTAACCAGGCACAATTTACATCACCACAAAGAGAAAATCCAATAGAATATTGCTTGAATAGAAGAGAGGTATCAATTTTAATAATCGTTCGGCGTAAAGTAGCTATTTAAATGGGGTGACCGTAATGCCTTCCGGGCTTATAAGTTTTATGGGGCCTTTGATACCACGGGGAACTTGGCCACTTACTTTTATTATTAGATGCGAATAAAATTTATGATTACACTCAGCGGATCATATGAATTCTAATCTTATGTCTTTGATGGGAAATTGATAGCTTGTGGATATGTTTCAATAGGTATGAAAGGCCTTACTTGTACGTTGAATTGTAATCACAGAATTTCGTCTTGGATAGTAGTGTAGAATCCGAACATCTATTTTTCGCCAGGTATATGTATACGATACGTAGTAATAGATGACAATATAGTTACCGAAAATTTCAAGATTATTTTCCCCGACACGGGTATCGAAATTCGTCGTAATCAAATTAGTATTCAACTACAAGGCAGCAGATGGACAATACCATTTTTTTTTATTCATTTTGAATTTTGTCTTCGGTTCCATATAAAAGTTTCATTGGACAGAAAACGAATCGAAATGTGGCTAAGTTGTAAAAATAATTTACATAAGATAATAAATTCCGATGAAGTTCTACACGAGCGTATCATTTATTCCTGAATAATTTGAAAAATAATTAATAAAATACTTGGGGAAAAGAAACGAGTTCTGTAGATATTATCGACACTCATGGCCTACCGACTTGATACAAGTATTTTATTTATATTTCTTGTCTTCATGATTATACGCTTTTCAATCTACCGCCGCCCGGCGCTATCTTTCATCGCTGCAAAAATCTGACGATCTAAATTAAAATATCGCTAGCTCCGGCCCTATCGTGAACGTACCGATTTAAGTGAAGCCTTCTTCGTGAAAGTTAATATACTGTATCAATGAATTAATATAAGAGCAAAATTTTGATGTTCTGTAAAACACTAATATTTCATAGCCTGAGAAGTATTTTTATTCAAGTAATTCATAGCAAAGAAATAGCTAAAACTTCTTCGTATTCAAAGATTTAGTTTTGTATTCAAAGTAGGTTATTTACCTGGATGTGAATGCGCGTGGTCGGCGGGCGGTTGCATGGATGACAGGGCGGAAAGTGGAGTGTAGCGGGCTCCGTCTTCACGAGAACATCCCTCCTGTGGATACATTAACGCTATAAGCTCTTGATACTACATACTAAATTATTTAATCTACCAAGATAAATCCGCTACTTTATTTGTACAAGTTATTTAACAATAAAGCTCAAAGAGGAGGGAGAGAAAAGGACGTCCTCTAAGGTAGGATTACATTACGTCTCAGCACAAAAAAGGCTGTGAAATATACCGTCGCCGAGAGTACGTATCGTACGTAGATCAACAAACTTGTGTTATGTGTATGTATATCTATTTAGGATCCCTGGCGCTTCTGAGAGTTTAACATTAATAAGATTTAACGCGTCAGACGATATAATCTGCGTCAAGGGTAACACGATGGTTACTCCTTTCACGCGTAAATCGTTCACGCCTCAATTGATAAGCAGAATGCAAACGAAAAGCGCCATTCGCATCTAATGCAAAAAGCTTATTTTTCTTTGTAGACGTCTGTAGGGCAAAGCGATGAAGGATAATGTGTGGATGAGGTCCCGAGGCATGTTTACATAGAACTTACTTCATTACCGCGTATTAATGAGAACCGAAGCGCCAGCGGGTGTAGTCTTTATTACGTATGGGTAATACGGGGTCTGATTTACTAACTTCCCCGATGGAAAGGGGTTTATGTGATTCATATTCACGTGTAAAGTGACTTATTCGAGATTAGAAACTCCATTTACAACTGAATAATGTTCTTACCTTTTCACAGTTAGCTGTTGCTGTGGTCTGTGTGTGGCTTGTTGATGAGATGCGGTACTGCATGCCGGACACGGTGCAAAACCCCTCGTGATGATGTGTGGAGTATACCCCAGTAATAGTCACATCAGTGTCTTGATTAACTATTACTTCAACTTTTTGTTTTCTATCCGACACAGCGGATTCATCACTTTCAGATTTAGCTTCGTATTCGTTTTTTGATTCCGACTTAACGCCGGAAGTTACCCCGTTTTTTGACTTCTGTGAATAAGATTCATCGCTACATGAGTCTGATGTAGTATCATCTTTATTAGATTTAGGTGAACGTTTCTCGTAACTAGCTGCCAGAATTGCAGTGGCGTTTAGGCTTGCCATACGTTTTTGTACGACCATATCTTTCAGATCCATTACTACTTCATTTCTGTTACGTTTTTTCTTCACGGGTACTCCGGCCGTCTTTTTCATTTTAGCAGGAGGCTTGTCAGAATCCGATTTATTAGAAGAAGCTTTAGATGAAACTTTCTTTTTCTCCGAATTAGTCGACTTTTTCTTGGTGTCTTGTTCGCTATCTTCACTGGAAGAGGTAGATGATTTTGGGTCCCAATACTTGCCTGCACTTCTAATTCCTGGCACACCACGCAGAGAACGCTGTGGTGGGTTGTCGTCTGAACTTTCTGAACTGTCATCTTTCTTTTCCTTTTTGGCTTCATATTCTGATTCTGAAGTGCTTTCTTGTTTTTCTGTTTCCTTAGTTTTAGTTTCCTTCTTTTTAGGAGACCCGGCCTTAGAAGTGCTTGGTAAGACTTGTCTATCAACTGTTTTCATCAATCCCAATTCCATGTGTGTCCTACTTTCATTCTCATACAAGCAATGGACTTTCGCAATTGCGTTAAGAGATGCCATTCGATGTTTTTTAGGACCACTCCACATCGATAGTAGTTTAAGCCGTCTTTTACTAGGTTTTTCATTACCTAACAGAGCCGAACTATCTTTAAGGTCAATAAGAGAATCTTTTGACAGTTCTTTTAGTTCTTTAGAGGGCGGTTTTTTAGCACCGTCGGTGATTCTGTTTTTCTTTAACTTTTTATTCTTGGCTTTTTTATTTTTAGGGCTATCAGATTCTGAGGACTCTTTGGTGTCATTATCGTCATTAGACTCACTAACGCTCTCTTCTGATGATGAGTACTGGAAACTTTTAGTGTTAAGAGCGAATTTTGAGTTATCTATTTCTTCATCTGAAATGCTGCTTTTCTTAGTCTGTTTTTTGGGTTTTACAGGACTTTTCTTAGTATTAGTGTTAGTTTTTGTAAGTTTTTCAGCTTTGTCACTTTTACTGGGTGTTTCTTGCTCAAGAAATTTAATTGGGCTAAAAGGTTTCCCAGTTATACTAGATTTTCTTGCTACCATTTTGTAAGATTTACTAACAATAGGTTTGGGCTTTTCTTCGGATTCTGCCTCACTGTTAACAGGATTGTTTTGTATAGTAGATGTGGCATTAGCATTTTGAGTTTGATTAGCATTTAATTCTTCAGACCGCTTATTTTTCAACTGTTTGACTACTTCTTCGATTGGTCTGTGAGGCGAATATTTTTTCTTTTCTGATTCGGCCTTTTTGTCAATTACGGTACCTTTAACTCTAGCTATTGGTCGAACTCTACCAATATTTTTACTTACAGGACTACGAAAATCAGATAAAATACTTTTTGGAGAGTCAACTTTTTCCGTGAATGTATAAACATCAATCTCTGGTCCCTGTGACACTAAAGTATTTGAAGAATTTTTATCTTTAGCATTATCTTCCACTTTTGTTTCAACTTTCATAGAAACAAACCTCTCTGAAACGCTTAAATTACCTTTTGAGTTTTTACAACATTTAACATCAATATCTACAGTGCGCGGTGATCTAGCCGACGTGAAAAATTTTGGAGGCCTTTCTGTTTCAGTTTTAGGTGTCTCTGGTTGATTACCAGAAGTCGCTGTTGGTTTAGATGATGTTTTACTAGGTATGGCATCAGTAACATTTTTTGTGTCTGATTTGACTTCACTTTTTTCTGCTTCTAGTGATTTAGTTTTACTATTCTCGATGCTTTCTTCAGCAACCGTATTCATTTCCTTTTTAATAGTAATATCTGTATTTTTAGTCTCATCAGTTTTTTGGTCTTTTTCTGTAGAATCTGGTTTTGCTTGGACCGTTCCTTTCTTTTTGTCATTATTAGCATTTCCTTTTTTTATTACAGTCTTAGCTTTTGAAAATTTCGGTGTTGCTTTACTTATAACATCTTTATTAACTTTGTACTTAGTATCTTTTTTACCCTTTACGCATTTTTTTACATTAGCTTTAACTGGTTTACTTTTCTTATCAACCTTGGTAGCTTTTTTCGGACCATTTTTCTTTACATTTTCAGGTGGAGTTTTAGCCGCGTCTTTCTTCTCTTTTGGATCTTTCTTGAGCTTTTTAGTTGGAGAATCACCGCGTGACGTACCTGCTTTGCATGGTCCAGATTTAACAGCTTCTGTTGTTGTATCATTTTTATCTGTATTTGTAGAAGCGTCATCGGATTTGGAAGTGGATGGGTCATCTTTGGAAGAACCTTTCTTAGTATTTTTAACCAATGATTTATTCACTAAATTTTTTACCTTTTTAGGCGAAACAGCTTTTTTAGTAGCTTGTTTCGCTGTAGTACTTTTAAATGATGGTTTACTCAATTCCCCTTTCTTAGGTAACGGTTTTGAAGCTTGTGACCGCATTGTCTGCTATGGTCGTATAAAATATGCCGTCATCGATGAAGTGATTCTTGAGATCACATTCTGAAACAAAGAAAATAATCATTTAAGTTTAATCATAAGTATTGACACGGACTACTGATTCAATTAACATACATAATATAATTGATGCGAAGACAGCTGCAATCCGTTCCTATCAAATCTTACAACTGTCGGTAATCGAGCAAAAAATCTTTTGTTGTTATGATTTACCCAACGACAGATGGCCGTTATTGTTACGGATCGGCTTGGATTTCTTTCTCGGGTAACGGAATCATAGGTAATAGAAGAGAAAAAAAACACGTAGTTGCGCAAGCACTCGTAGCTATACGTCGGAATTGAATATAAAAATTCGATTACAACAATTACATATGAACAAAAATGGGAACACAACAATTCTTGTTGAAATGAATTATGCATTACAGTATTAAGTGATTCATATAAAATACAAAAAAAAACATCTATCGATAACCACGTGCTAAAGGCAATAAATAAATTCAGTCCAAAGCAAACATCTGCTTCGATAACACTACACACACATAAATAACCCGACCATACACCAGGTTTAAGGGTTTTTTTGCTGTTGAAAAGGGACCAAAACTAACCGAATTTTATACCTGTGAGCACGTGCCGTCATTAGTGAATACAAAAAAGATAAGATAACTGCCAGAAGCTAACAGAAAAATAAAAGATACGTAGATTATTTCGTGGGGTGTCCGATAATATTATTGTGCATTAAATGTTAATGTTGCATTCAAAGGCACTTTTTTTGTATTTTCTTCAGTTTTATGACATAATATATACATTTAAGTATTTGGTGAAATAACTTTATTTGGCTGACAACGTAAAGCGAAATTACCTACTTACGAAATGAAATTTTTATGTAAGTACTCTGAATAGGTAAGTACAACAAAAAATAACAATCATAAGTCATCAGAAAGTCATGAAGATCAATCCAGTAATTGAAATATATTCAATACCTATTCACAACATTTTTTCCAATAAAATATTTCTATAATTTACACCGACGAAGTACAGAAAGCTTTTAAAGAAGAATTTTAAGACGGATCTACGCATTGCTTCAAATGAAACACGCTCGTAAAAAGACTGATGTTCATTGAGGTCAAACATTTTGGGCGAAAGCGTCAGTGTGGACGAACTATTTCAATAAAACTTTTTGAGCGGCCTTCACTGTGTCTGTGAATATTTAGTGGCTGTTTTGTAACCGTTTTATTAAATATTTGCTTGTGTATGTGCCAGTTACTTGTACGCAAAGTTTGGTTGAAAGTTAAATACTTGATGTTTTGCGTGAGATTGCAAGTATAAGTGGGTTTACTTAGAAGGCAGATCCTTTATATTTACATTTTTTTGATTGAGTGCAATTTGGTCTGCTTTGATAAATATGTTATTTATAACATTACGTCATATTCTAAGAACACGTAAAATAGTTGGAAATATATTTAGATAAGAACGAACACAGTTCGTAATATTCCAAATCACAATATATTAGACTCAGTGCTAAACGAGCATTCTGGTTACTAATCAGCGAAATACAATACACACATAACATAAATAGTGATAAGTAACACCCACTTATCACTATTTATGTTATGAGTCCCATGTAATAGGGGGTGAGCCTATTGCCATATACCGGGCACATTTCCAGACTCAGTGCTACTACTGAGATTTTTTAAAAACCTAGTAATACTTTGCCCGACCCGGGAATCGAACTCGATACCTCTTGCCCGGCAATCGCACTTGTGACCAGTCAGCCAACGAGGCAGTCTTCAATCAGCGAAATACTAACGTAGAAAAGCAACATGCAGCCGAATAACCGCCTCCTTTTTGGGAAGTCGGTTAAAAAAAGAAGATTTTCATACATATACCTACAAAAATATTGATTGTAAATATCAAGAAAGTTGAAAGAAACACGAATGCCTACGTAACAGCAATTTTGTAACCTAAGCCATCGTAATAAGAGTTGTTGTTTGCAATGAAGAAAAAATAAATTCTCATTTCTTTTACGAACTGGCTTCGTTGAGTATCATTTTCCACTTTTCCAAAGGGATATTGTACTTATAGTTTTATTTACGTTATGGACAGAAAAGTATCTTAAAGTTATTTTACTTCAGAAACACATTAAATAGTTATTTACTGATAGTGCTGTTAGTACTTTCATGTTATGCAATATTTGTTTGAAAGTAACTATTGTGATCAGATCTGTAGCATCTTTTTCTAATAAACCTTATACAGCTATTTTCTTTTGAACCTCTTCAAAGGTCAAAGGCTTGATAGCAACAGTACCAACACAATAGTACTGTGGGATCAATTATATCATGTAACCAACTTCTCTAAGGGTCTGTATGACCTTTAATATTTGGTAAGAAAAATGATATCAGTCTACTTTGTTATTTCGACCTTACGGTAAATGGTAACTTTCTTAAACATTTACAATATTTAGCGTCTATGAGAATATTCATGTTTCATAATGCACGAAAATGAAAATTAATGCTTGAATAAATCCCCAATAATACACAAAATTAGTATATTAAAGTATAAATAAATAAGTGAACCCACAAAATCGAGAGAAAGCTCACAATAACATAAATATTAACCCGTTGCCGAACCGCATCCAAATAAACGCTCCCAATTATAAAGCAGGTGGTTGGCAATGTTTCCGCAGATGTTGAAGAAACAGTTAAGTGGAAAATAAGAATAACAATGGCTGACCCTATTTAGGATTATGAGCCAGCCAAACAGAAGGAAACTAAAACAAAACTTCCACAAAATATAATTGAAAGTGCAGCTTGTCTCATAATTAAGCGTCGAGTCTTTTGTCAAGTTAACGTAATGGTGGAAGCCGCGGACTAGAGAGCAGCACTTGTTATTGTTTGAAGTGCTCTATTTTATTTTTATCTCCAAGAAACTAAGAGTACTCACGCCAAGTGTTTGTTCGTCAATGGACTTACAATACGTGAAAGTGATATAGAAATCTTTTCAAGTCATTGCTTTTGTAGTTTATGTCACGTTTTATACCAATAGTAGCAGTTGCATGTTGTGCGAAACTGTAAGTAATGGTAAGTGGAGACATTCATGGACTTAAAACTGTTCTCAGAATAAAAATATTTTATAACTTTATTATTTGACTTCTACCCAAGTTAAACCATTGTTAAAAGTTATTTGTAAAACCACAAGGCAGTACAAAAAATGATAATGAGCGGCGGCTTCATAATTATGCACAAATGCAGTCATGCAGAGCAAAGAAACTAAGGATGATAAGTACTTATTACATTTGTTTAACTTGAACAAGTCTGTTATTTCTTATTTATTCAAAGGCTAAGGAACTACTTGGGTGGTCAAGTAGCAAATTATAGCCCCTCACAATACTCTACCGTTCGTAAGGGTCAGATGGAAGGCAATCCCTGTCAAAGCAGTAATTTGCCATAAATCGGGAACAAAGAAGTGGTGGTACGCATACTAATAAGGGAGTAATCTATTATTTTAGGTAAGGCCTGCCACAAGGAGATATCTTTGGGCCCAATAAATTAATTGCCACTTCTGGCAATGAGGAATTTTGGAAGACAAATAGACAAGTGGAATGATTTAACACAAAATTTATGAAGGATTTATGTTAAAGACGATTGATGGTATTTGAGAATAAAAGTCATAAAGGTCTATTCTACAAAGTCAGATAGACTAGACTATGACAAATGAGTTTAACGCCAGACTAGAAACTTCATCTATGACTTATAGGAGTTTAAATAGTTTAATGGAGAATAGTTGTCACAGGTGGGTAGCCTGTCACTTGCAAAGGCCATTAGAGCTCAATCTAAAATGCATTCTAGCTACACCGATGTAGAGATACTAATTCAATAATAGACCCTTAGTGCAAAATTATTTATCTATTTGTTCCGTTCAACCAATGTACACAATTTTAATTTTATTATTGGTTGTAATACCACTATGACAAATTTATTTGAATAACCTGATAGTAAAATATTGAGGAATATTCCATCTGAGTTGAAATTTTAGTTCAATCATTCATTCATGGAAATCGGCAAGCGTAACTATAAGTTAAGACAATTGGTTTTAAATTAGTCGCAAGCTCTTCGTTGCCCACAAGTAAGGATGAGAAAATTATTTTTATCCGTTAAAAGTATTTGCGGAATCACTTTAAACAACCAGAGCGATACAGTTAGTATTGAAAACGATCCTTCTTTTATACACTTCTTTGAACTTTCTTTATGGTCTAAGACACAAAGTCTTGTTTTCTGTAGTTTTTCTTTCTTTGCCTTTACCGAGAGTGTTAATTTCCTACTGCTCTAGTATATTGCTGGCGTCTCGATTCCGAGTAAACCACTTTATTCAATCTGTATTCTGAAAGCGAATATTAATGGCGGTAGGTATTGTACGTCAACCCGTTCGACAACTTTGACTCTGTATTTATTGCTACTAGCTATTGATTTCGAATCCTAATTGCTTCCAGAAAGTAATAAAATCAAAGGTTTATGTTATTTTACGGTTTTAAACGTTTATTTTACATGACAAACACTCAGAAGCCTGTACCTATTTTAGTAGAAATACACGATCAAATACCAATACAAATCTCTACTGTTTCACAAAGGAATCAACATCAGAGGAATGAAACTATTTTATACAGATTGTTGTGATCCCTTTGCGAATAAGTTGAACATTTTTCAAAGCTCAGTGATTTCGTGAAAGCATGGTTGTTTCTAGTCGAAGAAGGGAGGGGTAATACGCGCGCAAGGGGGGACTATCGATCTGGTTTGCGAGCCAGCGTCCTAACATCCGAGACGCCTCAGATTCACTTTTAGGCCACTTGGCCGTCAATTACAGGGCCTAAAGCTTGACGAGTGTTGACGGTGGTTGAGCAATGAATCGCTTGTTCTCTTCTAATGAAGGTTACTTGCCAACCATTATCGCAGTTCGGTAGTTTACTTCACTAGTCTATTTACTGTGTTGTAAATGATTGTGATTTCTATCTAGCTTTGTGATTTTATATTCAACCCTATTTAGGTACTAAA